AAAAAAAAATTGCCTCCGTTTCCTAAGAACTTTTTAAAAAGTAGAGCATGATGTGTACAGTGATGATACGGTTTGGCTCTGTGTCCCCCCCTCAAATCTCAAATCAAATTGTAATCCCCATGTGTCAGGGGAGGGACCTGCTGAGAGGTGACTGGATCATGGGGGTGGACTTCCCCCTTGCTGTTCTTGTGACAGTGAGTTCTCACGAGATCTGGTTGTTCTAAAGGGTGGCATGTCCCCCCTTGCTTTCTCTCTCCTGCTGCCATGTAAGACATGCCTTGTTTCCCATTCACCTTCCACCACAAGTTTCCTGAGGCCTCCCCAGCTACGTGGAATTGTAAGTCAATTATACCTCTTTTCTTCATAAAATACACAGTCTCAGGTAGTTCTTTAGAGCAGCGTGAAAACGAACTGACACAGAAAATTTGTACCAGGAGTGGGGTACTGCTATAAAGATACCTGAAAATGGCAAGGCGCGGTGGCTCACGTCTGTAATCCCAGTACTTTGGAAGGCTGAGGAGGGTGGATAACTTGAGGTCAGGAGTTCAAGACCAGCCTGGCCAACATGATGAAACCTCTTCTCTATTAAAAATACAAAAATTAGCTGGGGGTGGTGGCAAACACCTATAATCCCAGCTGCTCTGGTGGCTGAGGCAGGAGAATCGCTTGAACCCTGGAGGCAGAGGTTGCAGCGAGCCGAGATTGTGCCACTGAACACCAGCCTGGGCGACAGAGTGACACTCCATCTCAAAAAAAAGATACCTGAAAATGTGGAAGCAACTTTGGAACCGGGTAATAGGCAGAGGTTGGAACAATTTGGAGGTCTTAGAAAAAGACAAGAAGATATGGGAAAGTCTGGAACTTCCAAAAGACTTGTTGACTGGTTTTGACCAAAATGCTGACAGTGATATGGACAATGAAGTCCAGGCTGAGGAGGTCTCAGATGGAGGTAAGGAACTTACTTGGAACTGGAGTAAAGGTCATACTTGCTATGCTTTAGCAAAGAGACTGGCAGCATTTTGCGCCCCTGCCCTAGAGATCTGTGGAACTTGAACTTGAGAGAGATGATAGGCCGGGCGCGGTGGCTGAAGCCTGTAATCCCAGCACTTTGGGAGGCCGAGACGGGTGGATCACGAGGTCAGGAGATCGAGACCATCCTGGCTAACATGGTGAAACCCCGTCTCTACTAAAAAATACAAAAAACTAGCCGGGCGAGGTGGCGGACGCCTGTAGTCCCAGCTACTCGGGAGGCTGAGGCAGGAGAATGGCGTGAACCCGGGAGGCGGAGCTTGCAGTGAGCTGAGATCCGGCCACTGCACTCCAGCCTGGGCAACAGAGCGAGACTCCGTCTCAAAAAAAAAAAAAAAAAAGAGAGAGATGATTTAGGGTATCTGGTGGAAAAATCTCTAAGCAGCAAAGCATTCAAGCGGTGGCCTGGGCTGGGCATGGCACGGTGGCTCACGCCTGTAATCCCAGCACTCTGGGAGGTTGAGGTGGGTGGATTACTTGAGGTCAGGAGTTCAAGACCAGCTTGGCCAACATGGTGAAACCCTGTCTCTACTAAAAATACAAAAATTAGCTGGTGGTCATGGTGGCACACACCTGTAGTCCCAGCTACTTGGGAGGCTGAGGCAGGAGAATTGGTTGAACCTGGGAGGCAGAGGTTGCAGTGAGCTGAGATCATGCCACTGCATTCCAGCTTGGGCAACAGAGATTCCGTCTCAAAAAAAAAAAAGAAAAAAAAAAAAAGCCTTCTGGCTGTTTCTAAAAGTGTATGCTCATATGCATGAAGAAAGAGATAGTCTGAAATTAGAATTTATATTTAAAAAGGAGCAGAGCATAAAGTTTGGAAAACTTGCAGCCTGACCATGCAGTAGAAAAGAAAAACCCATTTTCTGAGGAGAAATTCAAGCTGGCTGCAGAAATCTGAATAAGTAACAAGGAGCCAAATGTTAATTCACAGGCCCAGAGGCCTAGGAGGGAAAAATGGTTTTGTGAACTGGGCCCAGGGACCTACTGCTCTGTGCAGTCTTGGGACACTCTGCATCCCAGGTGCTGCAGCTCCAGTCATGGCTAAAAGGAGCCAAGGTACAGCTTGGGCCATGGCTTTACAGGGTGCAAGCCCCAAGTCTTGGTGGCTTCCATGTGATGCTGGGCCTGTGGGTGTGCAGAGGGCAAGAACTGAGGTTTGGTAACCTCTGATTCTCAAGCCATCTAGATTTCAGAAGACATACAGAAATGCCTGGATGTCTAGGCAGAAATCTGCTGCAGGGGCAGAGCTCTTATGAAGAACCTCTACTAGGGCAGTGCAGAAGGGAAATGTGAGGTTGCAGCCCCCACACAGAGTCCCCACTGGGATACTGCCTAGTGCAGCCATGAGAAGAGGGCCATCATCCTCCAGACCGCAGAACAGTAGATCCACCAACAGCTTGCACCATGTACCTGGAAAAGTCACAGGCACTCAACTCCAGCCCATGAAAGCAGCTATGGGGGCCGTACCCGGCAGAGCCATAGGGGCAGAGCCAGCTGGGGCCTTGGGAGCCTACCTGTTGTATCAGCATGCCCTGGTGTTAGACACGGAGTCAAAGGACACGATTTCGGAGCTTTAAGATTCAAAGACTGCCCTGCTGGGCTTCGGACTTGCCCAGGGCCTGTAGCCCCTTTGATTTGGCCAATTTCTCCCATTTGGAATGGGAGCATTTACCCAATGTCTGCACCCTCATTGTATCTTGGAGGTAACTAACTTGTTTTTTATTTTATAGGCTCATAGGCAGAAGGGATTTACCTTGTCTCATATGAGACTTTGTGCTTGGACTTTTGAGTTAATGCTGGAATGAGTTATGACTTTGGGGGACTGTTGGGAAGGCATGATTGGTTTTGAAATGTAAAAAGGACATGAGATTAGGGAGGGGCCGTGGTGGAATGATAAGGTTTGGCTCTTGTCCCCACCCAAATCTCATTGTGAATTGTAATTGTGTTGGAGGAGATGATTGAATCATGGAGGCAGAATACCCCCTTGCTATTTTTGTGATAGTGAGTTCTCATGAGATCTGGTTGTTTAAAAGTGTGTGGCACCTTGGTCGGGCTTGGTGGCTCATGCTTGTAATCCCAGCACTTTGGGAGGCCAAGGCGGGTGAATCATCTGAGGCCAGGAGTTCGAGACCAGCCTGGTCAACATGGTGAAACCCCATCTCTATTGAAAATGTAAAAATTAGCCGGGTGTGGTAGTGCATGCCTGTAATCCCAAATACTTGGGAGGCAGGAGAATCGCTTGAACCCGGGAGGCGGAGGTTGCAGTGAGTTGAGATCACGGCACTGCACTTCAGGCTGGGCAACAAGAGTGAGACTACATCTCAAAAAACAAACAAACAAACAAACAAAAGTGTGTGGCACCTCCTCCTTCACACTCTCTGTCTCCCGCTCCACCATGGTTAAGATATGCTTGCTTTCCTTGCGCCTTCAACCATGACTGTAAGTTTCCCGAAGCCTTTCAGCCATGTTTCCTGTTAAGCCTAAGGAACCGTGAGTCGATCAAACCTCTTTTCTTCATAAACTACCCAGTCTTAGGTAGTTCTTTATAACAGTATTAAACGAACTAATACAAGTGATAAGTCTTTATCAGCTAGAATCTTAGAAATCTCAGTATTAGGAAGGACCTTACGGATCATAACAAAATTAGCCATCCTATGCTAGAACTCTACATTGTGGTATCTAGCATATCCATCTAAAATCTCATGAGCTGTCTGATTCTTCCTTTTATTGTCTCCCTGTAGCTTCCACTCACTGATTCTACACTTCTTTACTCATTGTAAAAACCTAGTAATTTCTCTCACAAGTCAATATTCCAAATGCCTAATGACAATGATCAAGTCTGTAAGTTCTAAATACTCCAGGTTCCCTTTTCTGTTTGTTTTATGACATAGGTGTCCAATCCCTTTTAACATCTGGTTATTATTTTTATATATGATTCTTAACAGCGTCTCACTCAACACTGGATACAGAACTTCAAATATGGCTGTATTGCCTCTTTTGACTGTAGTCAGGGCAGTACCTATAATGAGTAAAGGCAGAAGAATTTGTCTAGCAAAGGTACCCATTCCTTAGGACATTTTAATAGGCTTTTTGCTCCACCAAGCTGAGGCAAAAAAAACTTATCAAATTAATGAGTTGAAAATGAGTAGGAACAATAGTTTCAAAGAAAATGTAATAAATAAATTTTCTGAGAATTGCCTTCAGAAAATGTCACATTCAAAATCACAAACTTACATAATAAATCCAAGAAAGGCTTTTATCTTCTAAGACATAAATTTTTTGTTTTGTTTTTGAGATAGGGTCTTTCTCTTACCAGGCTAGAGTGCAGTGGCAGCTCATGGCTCACTGCAGCTTCGACCTCCTGGGCTCAAGTGATCCTCCAGCCTCAGCCTTCCTAGTAGCCGGGACTCCAGGTAAGTGCCACTGTGCCCATCTAATTTTTGTGTTTTTTTTGTAGAGACAGGGTTTTACCATGCTACCCAGGGTCGTCTGGAACTCCCGGGCTCAAATGATCCACCTGCCTCAGCCTGCCAAAGTGCTGGGATTACAGATGTGAGCCACCATGCCCAGCAAGGTATAAATTTTAATTAAATATTTAAATGACATACACAGGGCAGTATTCCAAAAAATGGTAATTCCTCAGGCCACAGAAATAAAATGATTAGTTCTTTTGAAAGATATAGTACTAGTAAGATCTTCATTTTATAAAACAAGTTAAGCACATCTGAAAGCCAAGGGAAGTTTTATTTTAGTTTTTCACTTCTCTTGATAGTGTATCTTTATGCAACTTTCGTAATTTTAAAATTTCAAAGAGCAAAGTTACTTGTTTGAGTTCAGTTTATCAGCTGTAAAAGACACAGGCAAAGTACTCTAGAAGGTTTCTATGAAGCTATATGGTCTCTGTTATTACTGAGAATTTCAGTATAGAAATAAAGCCAAGACTATTCACAGAAAGAAAAGTGTAAGTAGGTAACTCAATTTCTAACTAGCAAATTAATAGCATTACAAAATGGCAAATTTGAAGAGAAACATTTTAAACATGAAAAGAATTCCCAGACAGATTTGGAAAAAGTACATAATTTTAAAAGAACACAATTTGGTATAAAATTCTTGTCTTTCTTGCTTTATAAACTACAAACAAAACTTCACAAGCAACAAAATAATTTCTGCACTAAATAAGAGGGTACACTGTGCAAAAATTCAGAATTTGAATACCTTTTTTAGTCTCCATAAACTTTTCATAATTATCTGGAAAATCATCTTCTGGTTTAGATTTTTCCGCTGGCGCCACAACCACTTTTCCTTCCTCTTCTTCATCTTCATTAAACCACATTTCTTCATCTTCTTCCAAGGCTTTTGCATCTCTGCGAAATCTGTTACTACGCAATATAGATGGTACACTGTAAGAAATATATCACAAATACTGAGTAATGATTTAAAGGTCATAACCAGATTAAATTGAAGGAAAGATATGTATAACCAAGAGGAACTGAAGTAATTTTAACTGACTATAATTTATATCAAAATAATCTCTGTAATGATAGAAGATGTAGCCAGAGAACACTCCAAAATATTTTAGAATGTTGTAAATTAAACTAAATATTCTTCTTAAGTTATAATCTTCTTAATACAAAAATTAAACTAAATATTCTTCTTAAGTTACAATAAAATACAACTACTTAAGATAAAGTAGTGATTTATCATATAAATGATATGGGGTAGTGGGGGACACCTTACCCTCCTATTCAACTCTATGCTATCCAGTGATGAAAAGAAACTTCCTCAATAAATTTCACACAGAAAATCTGAACTACAGACAGTTTTGGACACAATTTTTTAGGCTATAAAAGCAGTATACTTAAACCATACCTGTTCAGTTTCTGATTTTGTCTGTCTTTTTCTTGCTCATATTTAGTCTTCAATCCTTTGAATGTCTGAACATATTCAATCGATTCAAGTGCTTTATAAAAGTTTTCAACTATATGTGCAGTAAGAGACTTGATATCTTCCTGTACAAGCACAAAATTTACATTTAAAATATAATACAATGCTTATTAGAAGAAAAACTTTAAAATTTTGTTTTGTAGTTCTAAAGCTGATCAAAAAAGGTTTTTCAAAATCACCTTCCAAAATGTAATGTCCTGGTTTCTTTACACATGAGTCAGGACTGCACAGAAAACTTGAAAAAAAAGGAGAAGCAATTTACTGGAGCCCTTTTGTAGGACTATAAAGAACATTCGAAAAGTAAATAGATTTATTTTACATCTTCTGTTTATTTTTTGCATTTTTTATATATATATATATAGCACCTTACAACTTAAAAAGCACTTTTACATACAATTTCATTTGATCTTCGCAACAATTCTTTGAGATAGGTTTTATTATCCCCATTTTAGAGAAAAACAAAATTGAGGCTCTAAGAGAGGCTGGATGGTTTGATCCAAAGCACACAGCTGGTTAGAGGGCAGATGTTAAAATTACGTTTTCAAAATACTCACGGTGATAGATATCCCAAATACCCGGACTTGATAATTACACATTCTATGCATGTTAAAATAAATATGTATACCAAATACATCTGTACAATATTATGTATTAATAAAAGAAAAACGTATTTTTCAACAAACAGATGTTATTTAATGACTTCCTATTTAACTGCTATCAAAATGGGATATGGCTGTGGTGGTTTTCTTTCTGGTACATTTGTTAAGTTTTTGAATGAGCCTAACTCCACCACATGTATTACATAGCAGCTGGCAAAGGCTTGATGACAAAGAGATCTCTCACAAGTCTTTCTCACATCAGAGGCTGGCTCTCACATATAGAAGAAGAAAAAACAACAGAGGATACATCTTACCTAAGTAATAAGAAGCACAGATTTCTCTGACTATATTATACACACAGATCTGATAAACTATCTGGAATTCTACTTGTCTATTCCTATAGTCTTCCAATAGTATAATCTTTGTGAAATAAACTACTTGACAGTAATAACTTCTAAATTCTAAACCATCACTGCAGATGCATGCATGCCCAGTAGGCTTATTTAAAAAAAAAAATTAAAGATGTGATTCAGGACTTTATAGATAATACTACATAGTAAGAAACACACAGGCCATTTCTTTAAAAGATACACCATAATTTGGTTGCATTATGGAATTTAAGTCTTAAAACTAGTTCTCCTGTACATCTCAATTAAAAACATGCAAATCAGAAATTAGAAACCTAGGCAATGGCTCGGTTATATGTGAAACGAAAAAATACATTAAGTTTTGGGGCACAAGGTACACAAATCAACCACTCAAACTTATTTTCAGAAAAACAATTCCATCATGGGCATAGGGACGGGGTTGTAAACCCTACAATTTGCTTTATCTGTATCTCACCAAAATGTTAAAGGATAAAAATATAAAGTAAATAAAGCAGAAAGCTTTGATTTATTGTAGCAGTACAATGGGAACTAGTGAGCTAGTTAACCATGTTTCTTCTTTTACAAGGTTAAAGACTTCTATCCTCTTCATCCTTTTAAAAATCATATACTTGGCAATTGACCACTTTTAGAAAAACAATCCAGTCAGCCAAATAATCTTCATATGAGAACAGCATGTTATCAGTAGATATCTGATTTGTAAGAAATAAAACTAGAGAATGAATTTCTAGCTTCGACTTTCTTTTTTCAAATTATTTCCAGCCAGGTGCAGTGGCTCACACCTGTAATCCAACACTTTGGGAGGCTGAGGTGGGAGGACTGGTTGAGCCTAGGAGTTTGAGACCAGCCTGGGCAACACAGGGAGACCCCATAAAAATTAAAAATTAAAATTAAAAATTAGCCAGGCATTTTAGTGAATGCCTGTATTTCCAACTACTCAGAAGGCTGACGTGGGAGGATCTGCTTGAGCCCAAGAGGTCGAGGCTGCAGTGAACTCTGATTGCATTATTGCACTCAAGCCTGGGCGACAGACAGCATGAGACCTTGTCTCAAACAACACAAAACAAAAAATAAAACCCAAATTCTTTCCAACCATGTGGCCATTTCCTCAGTAGAATGATTTCAGCATGTTTAAGTACAGGCGAAGTAAATTTGTTGTAGTGGTTCTACAGTTATCTGTCGCACTCCTGTTATTCACATAGATTGCCCTCCAGACTGTTTATGACAAATCTTCTGTTGCCTAAAACTAAGCTGGGACAAAGCTTCAAGTTCTGACTGGTCCTGATTGTGCTACTATCCAAATGGATGTTCTTGCATAGGTCACTTAATAACTTTGGGTGTCTTAATTCCCTGATCTATAAAATACGGTAATTGGAGTAGTCCATCTAACTTCCTGATCTCTTTAACTTAAAATTCTAGGATTCCATTCTACCTTTTATGCACCTTGTATAATGTCTACCAAATGAATTTTTTTTGAGACAAGAGTCTTGCTCTGTCACCCAGGCTGGAAGGAAGTGACGTAATCTTGGCTCACTGCAACCCCACCTCCTGGGTTCAAGTGATTCTTGTGCTTCAGCTTCCCAAGTGGCTGAGACTACAGCTGTGTGCCATCACACCCAGCTCATTTTTGTATTTTTAGTAGAGCCAGGGTTTCATCACGTTGGCCAGGCTGGTTACTAACTCCTGACCTTAAGTGATCGGCCCGCCCAGGCCTCCCAAAGTGCTGGGATTACAGATGTGAGCCATCACACCCAACACCAAATGAATTATTTTTCCATCTTTATTCTTTTTAAATCACTACCTTTACAATAAAAATATCACCTTCTCCTAAAAGATCACATGACTAAGGCATGATTGACTGAAATGTCCACATACACCAAATGAGATCATAAAACACTGGGCCAATAAAAAAGGAACTGAGAAAATCAAGTAAATATGGGCTGAAAGACTACGCTGAATTTCACTTTTATATTTCACAATTAAAAATATTAGTGTTAAAAAATATTAGCGTCAAAAATAAAAACCACTAAACCATAACCATGTGGCAAATAAGAATTAAAAAGCTACTGATTTTTAAAATTTCAGTTCATTAGAAATAGATTCTAAGACACATGGAATATATAATTTCAGGGGTGAAAAGGGAATGAAGTCACTTTGCTTACATATAATTCTTTTACTTTTACATAAAAAATTATTTATTTGCATAAATTACATATAATAACTGTTGTTTTATATAAACTTACCACTCTTATAAATTCAAACAACTCAATAACAGCTGAATTCAATAGATTGTACCGAGTTCCATTATCCAGAAGTGCATTTATAACTGGCTCAAAAAGATTTCCCTTGGTGATGTAACGATTATAAAATTCATCTTTAAGTCCAATTATCCGCCTCATAAAGCGAAGAGCACCTAATAAAACATAATATAGGGGATAAGTTAATGATCTTACTAAAATCAATTATTATACAGGTGTTTTCCCACTATAAAGCAATGCATATGCTCTTCTAAAATGAAAAGTAAAACTGTGCATAAAGTAAAAAGTAAACTCCTCTAAAATGAAAAGTAAAACTGTTCAGTAAAACTGGACTTTGAGGAAAACAGAGCTGCAGAGGACCGCTCAAAACCTGTACAACTCTGTAGCCAGAACTAACAATAACAACAACAACAACAACAACAACAACAAACAGTAATTGGAAGCTAGGAGATAAACTACCCAGGCAGGTAGCTCTACGACAGAGATTAAAAAATATGCAAAATGCTAGCAGTATTTAGAGCAGTGCTGGTAGATGCTGAGTCAATGCAGTGAAGGCAGCTCAGAATCAGTTGGGGGCACTGTCATTAAGGTGGGCACAGGAGTGAGCAATCTGCCATGAGCTAAGATTGCCTTGCCTCTCTGAGGGAGTGAGCTTTAGAGGCAAAAGCTTGTTTTTAATTTTCTGAAAATACAGCTAAAGAGGCTCCTGATGCCAGATGCCAATCACATAACAGGAGATCTAAAGGTTTTTTACTTCTTTGATCAAGGCTATTTCCACTCACACTATTCTACTTCTCCTTGCCTTGAAAAAAGATTTGTGCAGAGGCGGGCGGATCACGAGGTCAGGAGACTGAGACAAGCCTGGCCAACATGGTGAAACCCCGTCTATGAGACTCTGTCTCAAAATACAAACAAACAAACAAACATTTGTGAACCAATCCTATCTCCATATTATAAAGACATCATTCTCTTATGTACCAATTGCTTACAAGCTATTTTACCTGGCTAAACATGCACTTGGCAGATCAGATTGTATTTGTTAAAAGCAAAACAGAGTAATGAATAAGAAGTACAACTTCACTTCACATTTTAGGATACTGAAAAGAAATCTCCTTTTTAACTCGTGAGTAGCTAAATAAAGCTTACTAAATTTAGCAATATTACTGCTAAAAATTTTATGGAAGAGGAAGGACTGTAATTTCAATCCTTTATTTTTATATTTGTTGATCCTTTAACTTGTACACTTCCCCCTAAGTAGTTTAATTTATTCTACAGATACCACTAGCCAAATCTTCAAAACACAAGGGTTCTGATTTTATAAGTCATTTTCTCATTCCAACCCTCTGTTCATAGATGAAACTCATTAAATAAAGAAGTGTGCCTGTCACAAGAGGTTCTAAACATTATCTGAGAATAAAACAGAAATAGGCCACATAAGGGATAAATGTTAACTGTAGTACCAAATAAGTATTGGGAGAAATGTTAGACTTGCAATCTCCCCTCTTTTTGTGGCAGGATAAGAAATGGTTTACTTAAGATGCAACAGACTGAAGCACTGGCAAGTGTGTGAGCAAAGAGGCAGACTTATACACTGCTGGTAAATGAACTGATATGTACACAAAACTATAGTTACAACAGCCCTGCTTATAATAATAGAAATCTTGAAATGATATAAACATTTAAATATTGGAAATTGTGGCTGCGTGCAGTGATTCACGCCTGTAATCTCAGTGCTTTGGGAAGCTGAGGAGGGTGGATCACGAGGTCAGGAGTTCGAGACCAGCCTGGCAAACATGGTGAAACCCCGTCTCTACAAAAAATACAAAAAATTAGCCGGGTGTGGTGGCAGGCGCCTGTAATCCCAGCTACTCGGGAGGCTGAGGCAGGAGAATCACTTGAACCCCGGAAGCACAAGTTGCAGTGAACCGAGACTGTACCACTATACTCCAGTCTGGGCAACAGAGCGAGACTCTGTCTCAGACAAAAAAAAAAAAAAAAAAGGAAATGCACTCAATTGACATGTTCATATTAAGGGAAGTACTCTGCAGTCATCAAAAAGTACTATTTATGGAGAACCAAATAGGAAAATCTGTCTTAAGAACATCAACCATTCCAAAATTAATATAAAAATATAATGTAATTCCAATCAAAATCAACTGGATATAATCATTTAGTTATTATGAAAGAAAAAAATGTCTAAGAACCACCAAGAAAAGTATGGAAAACAAAAGCGAAGGGGTCTCAGTAGGTATTAAACCTTACAACAGAGACACGATAATGCCTGGCATAATATAATAAACACTGGGGTTTTTTTGTTTTATTTGTTTTTTTTTTTTGAGACAGAGTCTTGCTCTGTTGCCCAGGCTAGAGTGCAGTGGAGCAATCTCAGCTCACTTTAACCTCCGTCTCCCGGGTTCAAGTGATTCTCTTGCCTCAGCTTCCTGAGTAGCTGGGATTACAGATATACACCACCATGCCTGGCTAATTTTTGCATTTTTAGTAGAGATGGTCATGTTGCCCAGGCTGCTCTCGAACTCCTGACCTCAGGTGATCCACCCACGTTGGCCTCCCAAAGTGCTGGGATTACAGGCGTGAGCCATTGCGCCTGGCCAACACTGCTACTTTTTCATTTGGTGAAATTAAACGACAATCCAGAAATAAAACAAAAGTATGCATATGTTAACTTATTGTATAACAGAAATTATATTTCAATTCAGAAGGAGACCGGGTGCGGTGGCTCACGCCTGTAATCCCAGCACTTTGGGAGGCCGAGGTGGGCTGATCACAAGGTCAGGAGATTGAGACCACGGTGAAACCCCATCTCTACTAAAAATACAAAAAATTAGCCGGGCGCGGTGGCGGGCGCCTGTAGTGCCAGCTACTCAGGAGGCTGAGGCAGGAGAATGGCGTGAATCCGGGAGGCGGAGCTTGCAGTGAGCTCACATGTGTTACATATATAAATGTAAAAAAGGAAATAAAGATATTAGAAGAAAGTGAGAATATCTGTATAATCTTAGGACACAGACTTTCCTAAGCAAAACAAAAAACCTAAAAGTCATAAAAGGAAAACAAAGACATTTTTGTCATCACAAGGAAATTTTAAAGTTATTTGGAAAACAACACTATAAATAAAGGCAAAGACAAAAGACAATGAAGATAGACATGTTCTCCTCAAAACATGATAAACCATTAGTATCTCTAATATGCAAAAAGCTCTAAGAAAAAGATAACTGGCAATTCACAGCAGATAAAAATGCAAAGTACACTAATATATGAAAAGATGCTGTCAGGGAAAATGCAAATTAGAGTAACAATGAGATACCACATTTTCCATTATCAGATTGATAACATTTTAAAATTAGTAACACTGAATGCTGGGAGAATATCAAAGTGCTTCAATTTTGGGGGAAGTAATCTGGCAGCTATATGGTAAATTAAAACTTAAAGGGATACATTAAAAAGTATAAAACAGATAAACATTTTGTCTTACCAGTCCCATTATTGAGAATCTATCCTATAGAAAGAAATAAATCAGTACTTAAAAGATTTATGTATTAGACTATTTACCACAGTGAGGTTTGGAGTGGCAAAAAAGCAAAAACAATCTTGTAATTTATTCACTGGAGAATGGTAGAAGAATCTGTGGAAGAGCCATACTATAAAATCTTACTCAGCTATCTCCAGGAATAAAATCAGTCTACACAATATTGATTAAGCTAGAGTAGTACTAGGGGGCTGAGAAATGTGTTGGTATGATCCTGTTTTGTAAATATAAAAAACACAAAAAAATCCTCTATACATGTGTGAATATGTTTATTATCTAAATTGGTACGGGTATTAAAAAAAGAACGCAGATAGTTAACACTGGCTATTTTAAGTCCATAAAAATAAAGATTAGGGAGATTAACATTTTCTCTTTACATTAAATTAAATGTCTATATTTAAGCTATAATTTTTATGGTCAGAATAAAATCACAAAATCCTTTTCATTTGGAGGGAGGATGTTTCTTTCTCTGTTTGCAGGTGAAATTATGAAACTTTTTTAGTTTATAGTCTGCCAAAAATCAACATTGATGCAAATATCAGGATAATTATAAACAGTGACTACTAAACGACAGTTTGATGAAGTAGATGTAAAAAAAACACCAGGACTGGTTCTGTTAGTAAAATGCTGTCACTGCACATGGTATTGTATCACAACAAAAGTTAGGCTCACTGAATCTAAATGTGAGCAATATGTGGGTGGGAAAATCACTACAACCTAGTCATCTCACCCTTTACATAAGAACAAAAGAGTAGGACTTCTCACAATCATCTCATTCATAGAATATACACTGCTAATAAATAACTTCAAATGGGTAACTTCAGTTTTATCTCTATTAAAAATGTTGCTCCTTAAAACATTTTATACTTACACAAGGCCAGAAAAGTGTGCTTTGAATTCATCAAGACCAAGACTCTTCTTAGCAAGTCCTTGTTCATAATATAGTTTTTAATGTGATATGTGTGATGTTCCACACAAAATGTGAGTAACTCTAAAATTAAGGCAAGTAGCTGTGCTGTTTGATAATTATCTACAAAAGAAAGTAATCTCATGAAAATACTGAATATATCTAAATAAAGAATAAATAAAGCTTACATCCTATTTTATAACGAAATCTAAACTGTAATTCCTCCTTTTTTTTTTTTTTTTTTGAGACAAGGTCTCACTCTGTCACCCAGTTTGGAGTGTGGTGGCACGATTATGGCACATTGCAGCTTCCACCTCCCAGACTCAACTGTTCCTCCCACCTCAGCTGCCAGAGTAGCTGGAACTACAGATGTACACCACCATGCTAGCTAATTTTTTTTTTCAATTTTTTGTAGAGATGGGGCCTCACTATGTTGTCCTGGCTGGTCTCAAACTCCTGGGCCCAAGCAATCCTCCCACCTTAGCCTCCCATAGCGCTGGGATTACAAGTGTAAGCCCCTGCACCTGGCCCATTTCCTCCATTTTCATATCCATTAAAAAGGCTGTAGATTTTTACTTTTTCATTAGGCAGAAGCATATTATCAGTTTTACCTATTAGATAACTAAGACTCATATTTGCATAAAATATGAAATACAGAAAGAAGAGCAATAAAAATATATGAACATGATAATAATACCTTGATGGCATTGAGGAGTTCTTGGTAATGTTTCTGTAATAAATGCTATATTATTAATATTAATAAATCTATAAAAGGGCCCACTGTTAAAAAAAAATACTTAAAACATTTTGCCTAAAGTGGCTCAATGCAAATTTCTCAAGAAAAATTATATGCTTTTAGAAAAGACATTTTAAGAAAAGGATATTTTTGGCTGTTTGAATATCAAATGAAAAATATTACATCAAGATTCTTTTTTTTTTTTTTCATACGGAGTCTTGCTCTGTCGCCCAGGCTGGAGTGCAGTGGTGCGATCTTGGCTCACAGCAAGCTCCACCTCCCGGCTTCACCCATTCTCTTGCCTTAGCCTCCTAAGCAGCTGGGACTACAGGCGCCCGCCACCACGCCCGGCTCATTTTTTTGTGTTTTTAGTAGAGACGGGGTTTCACCAGGTTAGCCAGGATGGTCTCAATCTCCTGACCTCGTGATCCACCCACCTCAGCCTCCCAAAGTGCTGGGATTACAGGCGTGAGCCACCACGCCCAGCCTAAGATTCTTAAGCATAATTTAATATAATTTCATATACACCTTTTTTTTTTTTTTTTTTGAGACAGAATCTGGCTCTGTAGCCCAGGCTGGAGTGCAATGGCGCTATCTCGGCTCACTGCAAGCTCCGCCTCTCGGGTTCACGCCATTCTCCTGCCTCAGTCTCCTGAGTAGCTGGGACTACAGGCGCCCACCACCACTCCCGGCTAATTTTTTTTTCTTTTTGTATTTTTAGTAGAGACGGGGTTTCACTGTGTTAGCCAGGTTGGTCTCAATCTCCTGACCTTGTGATCCGCCCGCCTTGGCCTCCCAAAGTGCTGGGATTACAGGCATGAGCCACTGAGCCCGGCCTATATACAACTTTTAAAATATCAACTCATGATATCCATAGAGAGGGACTTAATGAATAAACTTGCATTTTTCTTTTCCTGAGGCTTTGGTTTATACATCCATGAAATGATTTTGAACTGCTTCCTGAACATCAAATTTTAATTTATGTCAAGGGCTCATATGGACAATCATGCACCCCTATTATAAGTGCTTTAGACAAGGAAATATTTTCTTGTTGTTTGAGACAAGGTATCACTATGTCACCCAGGCTGGAGGGCACTGGTGCAATTTTGGCTCACTGCAGCCTCAACTTCCCAGACTCAAGTGATCCTGCCACCTCAGCCTCCCTAGTAGCTGGGACCACAGGGACATACCACCATGCCCAGTTTATTTTTTGTAGAGACGAGGTCTCACTATGTTGCCCAGGCTGGTCTCTAACTCCTGGGCTCAACCGATCCTCCCGCCTCGGCCTGCCAAAGTGCTGAGATTACAGGTGTGAGCCACCACGCTTGGCTAGACAAGGAAATATTAAGCTGTAAGGAAATTATAAAATCACAGTCTTACAGAATTTTTTAAAAAATGACATCATCTAGTACAACTATTTTATTTACTTGAGATTATATACATAAATATTTTGGGGAACTACAATGCTATTGGGAATAAATTAGCATTCTTTCTAATAACAGAATGACCATCACATATAAATACACAAAATAAAATTCTGATATTTCAAGGATTGTTTCTACTTTAAATGCAAGTGAAGAGTTTCACTTGCTCCAGACCAATTTCTATAACAGCCAGTACTACAGCCAAAATTTGAACTAGTCCCTCACCATTAAAGGCAATTCCTGGCCAGGTGCGGTGGCTCATGCCTGTAATCCCAGCACTTTGGGAGGCCAAGGTGGGTGGATCGCCTGAGGTCAGGAGTTTGAGACCAGTCTGGCCAACATGGTGAAACCCCGTCTCTACTAAAAATACAAAAAAAATTAGTTGGGCGTGGTGGCATGCACCTGTAATCCTAGCTACTTGGGAGGCTGAGGTGGGAGATTGCTTGAACCCAGGAGGTGGAGGCTGCAGTGAGCCGAAATCATGCCACTGCACTCTAGCCTGGGTGACAGAGTGAGACTCTGTCTCAAACAAACAAACAAAAAAAAGCAATTCTTCTTTATTTCTCAATTCCCAAATTTTATTACAAAAGATTTTTTAACCTTGACCCTCAATGCTGTATGTGGAAATTAAATTGAAAAAACAAAAACAGGCCGAGCGCAGTGGCTCACACCTCTAATCCCAGCACGTTGGGAGGCCGAGGCAGGTAGATCACGAGGTCAGGAGATCAAGACCACCCTGGCTAACACGGTGAAACCCCATCTCTACTAAAAATACAAAGTTGGGAGGCTGAGGCAGAAGAATCGCTTGAACTTGGGAGGCGGAAGTTGCAGTGAGCCAAGATTGTGCCACTGCACTCCAGCCTGGGTGACAGAGTTAGACTCCATCTCAAAACAAAACAAACAAAAAAAACCAAACAAAACAAAAAACAATGACCTACAGTGTTAAACAAATGTCTTGTCTTCATCTTTATAACTGGGACAAGAAATTACTCATATCTCTAAATAGTCCAATCTCTGAACAGCTTCCTTATTTGAAACTGGCTCCCCTTTGAGATTTGATGAGGCTGGCAGAAAAGGCATGGGACACTAGGTGTACACAGCACATGTCTTTATTAGTATCAAGCCCATACCTAGTATGCCTATTCTAAATAGGAACAACTACTTTTTGACTCAGATTCATGAACAATAAGCATAAAGTGGTCATGAAAGTTAGTTGCAAAGTAACTGGTCTTAGTTACTACATTTCAAAAATAAGAACTAAATCCTCGACTTTCAGACAATGCCTTCTCATAACAACGTCAGAAAACAAGCTATACATTTTCAGGGAAAAAACAACAGAATTCCAACTAGTTTTCTATTTTTAATACTGGAGATAGTGGAATTTTTTCTTTACAATACAGACAAAAATAAATTTTTGGATTTTGTTTTTATGCCAAAATATGCTTTTCTTAGCCTTATATAAGTGCATTACACTTAAAGTAGAAAAAAAGTTTATAATTTGCATGTATTCATAAAGTATGAATTTATACTTACCAGGGCAAATTGTGTTGTTTTTGTTTGATCCAACTATATTATCTAATAAAAAAATTAAAAATTAAAATCAAATACTTCAGTAATAATATCCCACCTTTCCCTAGTACTTTATAATATACAATGCATGACTTCAATCATAATCTCATTTTACCCTCAAAATAACCATTAAGACTTGGTTGCTTCAGCAAAATTATAACTATATCTGCAATCTTTTACAAAAGTGGATGTAGCTATAGAATTATTAAAAGACAACATAGCATATATATTCTGATAAAAAGTAAGATTACAACCAGGGATAAAACCAACATATCTTCTTTTACCTTCTCCTATTCATCATTCAACAATTAGGATATTTCTCTTCATCTCATTTTTGTTTTTTTATTTTTAATTTTTTAAAATAATATTTGCATTTGATCATCCATTATTCATCTCATTTTTAAAAACAGAAAATACAGGAATTTTTAAAACTCCAGAATAATAAATGTGTTTATGCTTTAAATTTAAAAAACAAAAAACTCAATTAAGTAGGCCATTATAAATAAGTTCCAATTTCTAGGCATACATTCTAGAGCACATCAAGGCACATGTGCATAGGGAAACACAAGAATGTAACTGGAGCATTATCTGTAATAGCAAAAAGCTAGAAACAAATGCACATTAGAGGCAGAATGGCTCTATTACAGCATACTCATAAGAGAGGATTATGTAGGAGTTAAAATTAAATAAGAACTCTATTTCAATATGAATTAGATCAATATGAACAGGTATCAATACGAACAGATCTCAAAAATAACACTGGATAAAAAATATGCAGAATAATACGTATGACAGATATTAAATTTATAGCAACTTTGAAAATATGAAAAATAATACCGTATATACACATCATAACAACATAAGTAAACACAGGAGTGATAAACTCCAAATTCAGCATACCTTGAGAGATGGAGGAAGAGGGGGTAGAATGGGAATGGGAATGTGAAGGGGTACATACGAAACTCCAACTATATCTGTAATGTTTTAAAAAAAAATCTGAAAAAAAATATGGCAAGTTAGTTTTGATAAAGCCAACAGGGAGTATATGAGTGTCTGTTATACTATTATCTATACATTTCTGTAAGCCGGAAGTGTTCTATTAAAATGAACATTAAAAATGCATTATTTTTATTTATATAAATGGAACCATTCTGCAAGAAAACCCTCTGTGATGTGCTTTTGTACCCATTCACCTTGATATTTTGGGGAATTATTCAGTTGATACATCAAAATTCAATTATTTTAACTGCTATATAGTATTCCATTATTTGAAAAAAACATATTTTATTCATTTTCCTACCACAAACAATGCAGCAACATTCTTGTACCTGTCATGCATATGCACAAACATTCCCTAGAGTATATACTCAGAAATGGAACTGATAGTATTACACAGGGTGTGCTCATGTTTCAACTTACTAGTTTCATAAAATTCTCCTAACTAACTTCCTTTTAAGTGACTCTTCAGGTTAACAAATATTTTCAGATAGTGGCTAATGTTCTATTATGCTCCACATATTTCTGATTTCACTAATTAAGTTGTAAGCTTTTCAAAGTCCTTTGCTTACATTAGTATGTATTATGGTCATATGGTACCATATGAGATTAATGAAATCTCTGAGGTTGATGAAATCTCAGAGAACTGTAATATCTATGGCTAAGTTGAATATAGTAGAACTCAATTTAAAAATTGCCTCCAAATTAGATATATGCAAGTATGATTACCTAGAGGGATATACTAAAACCATAGTAGGATTCTACACTCAGACTCCTTCAAAAATATTTTTAGATTTTCACTCCATTTTAATAAACTGAAACAGAAATTGCAGCTGATGAATTACGGGTGCTGATTATATAAGAAAGAGAATATGGAAATGCAATTTTAAAAATACTAATGAAAAAGCCTTGCCCATATATATCAGCATATATTGGCATATGAATGTGTATTTGGAGACTAAGTTAAAATATTTATACTATTTGCTCCTACTCATTCTAGATATCAACTCTCACAAATTTGGGGACAATGCTTTCTTTTGATAAGTGTCTACATCTCAATTCCTTAGTGTGTAATACTGTTTGCCACATTTTCTTTTTTTGTTTTCCGTCAGTGGTCTACACATTCAGAGAAACTTCTGTAGTAACAAACTATAGAAATGGCCCCTGAAAGAATAGTCACTTCCATAACCCTAAGAAACAAGAAAATCGTAATTTTATATTGCAGTTTAAGTTTTTCAGTCATAATTTCCCTGTCATATAAAGTTTCAAGTAAATTGCCTGTTAGTTTAATATTTATCTCATCCTTCTTTAAAAACAGAAATCATAGCAGATAAATAAGAGATCCTACCCTTTTCACATTTGTCTTCTGAAGTATTGGTCAAAAGTGGTGCTGTGAGAACATGCATACAATGGTTGTAGAAGAAATTTAGAAATTCACTTTTTTCAGTTTTCTGAAACAGAATTTTTAAAAGAATACTGTTACTTTTGTAAATAAAAAACATCTTCAAGATTAGCAGTACATACCTTTTCCAGAACCAAAACAAAACAAAAAGAATTAGCAGTACAGATCATATATAAGCAGATACTTTAAGATACTATGAAAAAAATCAAACACTTAGTTATATATTGTGAAAGAACCAAAAACTAACTATATTCACTTTAATCTTATTTCTGTGGAACTGAAAATTAAGTCTACTTCATATTATATACTAAGTAAAACTGAAGGCAAGATAAAGATCAGATAGCATCACAAAATGTTTTTCTGAGGAAAATTATTCAAAATAATTTTTTCCAAAAGATGCCTGTGATATGAATATGAAATTCAATGAAGAACCAATCTATTGTACAACATATATAATAACATATTACTAACAATTTATTACACTTGCAAACTGCTAAGAGAGTAGATTTTAAGTGTTCTCAACACAAATAGAAAACATATAAAACACACACAAAATAAATAACATGTAAGTCAGAACAGCATACACCATAATCACTATGGATCCCATTTGTCTCTCTCTCTTTGCAGTGTATTGAGTTTTTCCCAAGAATGTAACAAAGAGAGAAAATTCTCTCAACTTTAAAAATAACATTCAAATGTGGGGAAAAGGCACATATGAATCTGTTTTGGAAGAATAAAAATTTTTAGAAAGAAAAAGAACCAATTAAGCCCATGTGATAGCAACTTAACTACTTAAAATTTGGAACCCCAGATTTCACCAACTCTATCCAAATTTTAAAAACCACTGAATAACGTTATCAAGCCACTAGATGAAAAGACAAAATTTAAATCAATTTTTAGCATTTTAAAATTTTATAATTTGAAAATTTGGAAAATAATGTCTATGGATTTTGCCACTATTTTTTACACAATTGGGCATACAAATTTGTAATGATTTAAAAACAATGTACATATTCTCTAAATATGAAGGAAATTTTATAAAGAAAATATCCCTCCATATTGAGAGAATGACTATTAATATTCTGGAGTATCTAATCCTTAAGTATTAAGGACTTACTCCTTAAATCTTTTTAAATGTCTTATGTAATTAAGATCATTCAGTATAAATTTTTCCTTTTTTATTGTGATAAAATCACACAACATAAAACTTGCTATTTAAAAATTTGTTGGTCAGGCGCAGCGGCTCACACCTGTAATCCCAGCACTCTGGGAGGCCCAGGTGGGTGGATCATCTGAGGGCAGGGGTTCAAGACCAGCCTGACCAACATGGTGAAACCGCATCTCTACTAAAAATACAAAAATTAACCAGGTGTGGTGGCATGCATCTGTAGTCCCAGCTACTCGGGAGGCTGAGAAAGGAGAATTATTTGAACCAAAGAGGCAGAGGTTGCAGTGAGCCAAGATTGCGCCACTGCACTCCAGCCTGGCGACAGAGTGAGACTCCATCTCAAAATAATAATAATAATAATTTTATCATTTTTAAGTGTACAGTTTAGTAGTGTTAAGTATATTCACACTGTTGTGTATTAAATTTTAAGAAATTAACACATAGAGGCCAAGGGCCATAAATGGAATTCTTAACATTTTACTAAGATTTTAATAGATTACAATTTTGTATTTTACCACAAATGAATTGTTGTAAGAATCCACTGCTACTTAAATACCAACTGGACAAATACTTAAAATACTTGTTTCTCAAAATTTTATTACAAAGCCACCTAAAACTGACTAGGTCAAAACATTTTTATCTCAGAATAATTTCTTACATTAGTTGTAGCCAGCATGTTCTCTGGATCAATCAGAGTACGAAGAAGTCCCATTAACTGAACAGCGCCTCCTAGCTCAGGATCAGTATCACAGATCATTTGTTCAATTACCACATTAATAAGAAGAATATCCTGGTGGCAAAACAAAACAAAAGAAAACAAAACAAAACATGTTTCCATTAGACCTGGTATAGATCTAAGACAAAAACACCAAATGAAAGAGCAAAGTGAGAATTATATAGAGAAAAAAACAAAGAATGGAATAGCTTATTTAAACTTTTATTCCTACTGCTTTTGAAGGTTCTATAAAATACTACACTAGAGTGAAAAAAATGCCACTCCAGAAAAAAAAAAAAAAAAAAAAAAAAAAAAAAAAAAAAAACCCACAAAAGCAGAGCATGCTGCAACTTATAGGACGTGGAAAACAATTCTTTAGCAGTAACTCTTATTCATTTTGAGTTTCAGATTCAGGCATAAATTTAGAGGTTGACTAAACAAACAAGATCATGTGACCCTAAGACATAAATTATCTCAGCCTCTAACTAGTAAATCCTTCCTAGCAAAAAAAAAAAAAAAAAAGAAAAAAACAGAAAAAATGACCAAAAATAACCCAGTACACAACTCTTCATGCAAGAAGACACTGTGTTATATAACAATCTAATATCAGCTAGATTTGCTACATTAGTAACATGCTCTTGGGTTTTATTTATTTATTTATTCATTTATTTATTTATTGAAACGGAGTCTTATTCTCTTGCCCAGGCTGGAGTGCAGTGGGGCAATCTGGGCTCAGTGCAACCTCACAAACGAGTCTCCTGCCTCAGCCTCTTGAGTAGCTGGGATTAAAGGCGTGAGCCACCATGCCTGACTAATTTTTGTATTTTTAGTAGAGACTGTCCGGATTCTAAGCTGCCATCTCTATTTTCTGATTGGGAAATATAAATAAAATTAGATGTTTACATTTGTTTCATTGATTCTAAAACAGATTTCTTAAAAATTTTAACCTCTTAATTAAGATACATTTTGTAATTGATGGCATTGGACAGTCACTATCAGCCAAGTGGTAATCATGACAAAATTACATAAAAATCTTTTACTGACACTGTCTTGTAAGATCAAGGAAATATTAGCATCTGCATATCTTAGGTTTGATGGATACAGTAAATAAGAGGAGAAAAGAAGAAATGGCAAGAGCAAGAATATTTTGAACCAGAGTAAAAATAACTGGTGGATGTTGTGAAAACATTTCCAGTTTGCTTAATACAAACACACAAGAATTTAATAAAAAGTCCATTAATTGACTGGGTGCAATGGCCCACGTCTATAATTCCAGCCATTTGAGAGGCTGAGGCGGGAGGATTGTCTGAGGTCAGGAGTTCGAGAGCAGCCTGGCCAACATGGTGAAACCTCATCTCTACTAAAAATATAAAAAAATTATCTGGGTGTGGTGGTGGGTACCTGTAAACCCAGCTACTTGGGAGGCTGAGGCAGGGAGAATTGCTTGAACTCAGGAGGCAGAGGTTGCAGTGAGCCAAGATCGTGCCACTGCACTTCAGCCTGGGTGACAGAGCAGGACTCTGTCTTAAAAACAACCACTAACGTAATTTGCTTTACAGCAACTTTAATGAATGCTTCTAAGTACGTGTGTGTGTGTGTAAGTAATACACTTGGTCCTCTGCAACTGTAGGTTCCATACTCATGGATTCAACCAAGTAAGGATGAAAAATACTTGGGAAAGGAAAAAAAAAAAAAGAATGGTTATATCCATACCGAAACATGTACAGATTTTTTCTTTTATTACTATTGTTATTATTCTCTAAACAATGTTTATTCTCTCAACAATATAGTATAACAACTATTTACATAGCATTTGCATTGTATCAGGTATTATAATCTAAAGTATAAGGGAAGATGTGCATAGGTTATATGCAAATTTTATGCCATTTTATATAACAGACTTGAGCATAAGTGGAGTTAGGTATCCTAGTGTCCCAGTGGGAGGGGAAGGTGGTTTCCTGGAACCCATCCCCCACAGATACTGAGGGATGACTATATATAACATATATACACACATACATATATAAAAACCAATACTTCTTTCAACTCATTCTGATTTGAAGAGCGCAACTATAAGTAGCTCCTCAAGTTCTACAGAACGTAATGGTCCAAATTCTTAAGTCTGTGGAATGACAAACAGCCTGGACAGAAAAAATGAAAACTCAATCGTTTTGTTTTGTTTTGTTTGAGCAGGATCTTGCTATGTTGTCCATGCTGGTCTTGAACTCCTAGGCTCAAGAGATCCTCCCACCTCATCCTGCCAAGTAGCTGAGATTACAGGCATGCACCACCAACACATCTGGCACATTCTTTTTTAAAAGTTGGGGGGATTTCCTGATATGACACACTAAAGGAAATGATACTTCTATGCCATTTCTGCCACAAAGAAGTAACTAGAATCTATCTAATTGTGAGGAAACAACAGACCAACCAAAGTTGTTGGATAACAGATCAGAAACTTTTTGTTTTTGTCTTGGTTAAAATGGACATTACTGAGATAATGAATAAAATATGAATGAGTACTGTAGTTAGATGATAGTATTATAAAAATCTTAATATCATGATTTTGATAATTATACTGTGGTAATGTAAGAGTTTTTAGTTGGTGACAGTGAAGTAACTAGGGGTAAAGGGACAGTTTGTCATCATTTCTGTACCTTATTACTCAATGGTTCAGAAAGAAAATAATACCCATGTATGCATATGTATTTATACAAATGCAAGCATAGAAAGAATGACAAAACAAATGACAGATAAAATATTAACAATTGGGCCGGGTGCGGTGGCTCACGCCTGTGATCCCAGCACTTTGGGAGGCCGAGGAGGGCGGATCCCGAGGTCAGGAGTTCGAGACCAGCCTGACCAACATGAGGAAACGCCATCTCTACTAAAAATACAAAAATTAGCCGGGCGAGGTGATGCGCACCTGTAATCCCAGCTACTCAGGAGGCTGAGGCAGGAGAATTGCTTGAACCCGGGAGGTGGAGGTTGCAGTGAGCCGAGATCGCGCTACTGCACTCCAGCCTGGGTGACAGAGTGAAGACTCCGTCTCAAAAAAAAAAAAAAAAAAAAAAAAACACACAACTGGGGAATTTATGTGAAGGGTATCTGGGAGTTCGTTTTATTATTATTGTGACTTGGAGAAATTTTAAGAAATAAAATGTGACCTAATGCAAAATACTGAAAGGTCAATCTATAGAGATTAACTTATGTACTTCCTAACTTCTTTTTATGATAAATCTCAGATATATAAAGAACTAGAGAGGACAATACAATAAATCCCATGTATCCATCCCAGCTTCAACAATTATTAATTCACGACCAATCTTGTTTAATACACCAACTTATCTCTACACTACAGAATTTAGTTTGAAGCAAATTCCATATAAATATGTCAGCATAAATGTTTAAAATATAAGGATTCTTTTAAAATAACACAAATGTTATTATCATATCTAAAAAATTAACATGAGATTTTATTCTTAAATGAGAAAACACCTAACAAATCCAGTCAGGTTCTCTAAGTTTTACTGAATGTTTCAAAGGCCATTAATATAAAAATATATGCAATCTGTGGCATAACAAAAAGACGACATTATTGCTAAATTTACTCTTTCTGCTTGGATAGAAACAATGACTATAGTAAAATATGTTAATATTTCTTTTTATCTTAATACATATTTAAATATTGTAACCCATGTTGCCATAATCAAATCTGCTCCATAATACTTTACCAAAAGGAAATGTTTGAATGCTGAGCATTTATTTTAAAAGGGCACTAAAATATCAACTGCCACTGAATATACAGATAAGTCATTTTCTGTTTCCTTCCTAAAGGTCACCACCAGCCCAGTATAGGATTCAGCATGTAGAAGACTTAATTTGGGTTTTTCTTGTAATTAGATTTATCTTCTCTTGTGGACTAAATTATTTTGAGGCAACACAGTTTTAAAATTGTAAAATTGTTAGCTCTCAGAAAATTCAGGAACATGAAACCCCCTGAAGGTTGTTATAAGAAAAAAAAACACTGAGAAAGGAACTTTTCATAGTGAAAAAATCAATCGCTGCTTTTCTGTCTTATGCATCAATTAAACAAGAAATATTTCTAATTAAAACAGGAACCAAAGCTTGAAGAGTTAAGAATTCTAAAGTTAACAGTTTACTGTGATCATGGTCTGAGATTGATTCATGGTCATTTTATGATAAATGCCTTTAATCACACACATCACTGAAGATGGAGCAATGGGAGTGTTAAATTTCAAAGTTATCTTTTGTAAAGGGTGGCATTAAGATAAACCAATGAGATTATAAAATTATTAATAAAGTAAGCATTTCTTTTTAAAGTCAGAATTAGCATTGTTTGATTTTTAAAATATATAGAGAGAACACAAAATATTACTTCTCTACTGACTATACTGCATTAGCCCAAGTTGATTCTAAAATAAAATCACTTTAAAAAACATTGAAAATAACTAACAAATATAGAAAGCATAAAGCTAAGGACACATTACAAGATTAAACACAAAACACATAAAACAACTATAATTTAATTCAATGGTAACTCATGTAAGCATCAAATTAAAATTGGGAAACAAAAACTTTCCTTAAGAAGAGGATCAGACATGGTGGCTCATGCCTGTAATCCCAGCACTTTGGGGGGCTGAGACGGGTGGATCACCTGAGGTCAGGAGTTCGAGACCACCCTGAACAACATGGTGAAACCTTGTCTCTACCAAAAATACACAATTAGGCAGGCGTGGCGGTGCACAGAGGTTACAGTGAGCCAAGAATGCGCCATTGCACTCCAGCCTGAGCAACAAGAGCGAACCTCTGTCTCAAACAAACAAACAAAAAGGAAGACAATTATAATTACCTTCTACTTAAAACTAAGGCATTTTTAATGTAAAAAAAAAAGTACTTTAAATTATAGCTCTATGTTCATTTTGTCCTTAAAATAGCTTAAGGGGAAAATTTAAATATATCAGTAGTGGGAAAACACAATATTGGTCTCATTATTAAACTTTCTTTTTTAATTTCTTTTACTTCCACAGGTGGTTGGGGAACAGGTGGTGTTTGGTTACATGAATAAGTTCTTTGGTGGCGATTTGTGAGATTTTGGTGCACCCATCACCCAAGCAGTATACACTGCACCCTATTTGTAGCTTTTTATCCTTCACCCCCTTCCCACCCTTTCCCTGAGTCCCCAAAGTCCACTGTGTCATTCTTATGCCTTTGCATCCTCATAGCTTAGCTCCCACTTGTAAGTTGAGAACATATGATGTTTGGTTTTCTATTCCTGAATTACTTCACTTAGAAAAATAGTCTCTAATCTCATCCAGTCATTATTAAACTTTAATTCCTACTTAAAACATATTCTTTGAACAAACAAAAGCAACTTTTTAGGTATCCTAGGTAAGTACCTGACCTGTAAATCTCCTAAGGCTTGAAATTACATTTTATTAACACTTGAAATTTAAGACCAATATTTACAAATCTGATTCTATTATAACCTGTTTATCTCAATACTGGTTTGAATATCTGGGTTTTTTTGTTTGTTTGTTTTTTGTTTTTTTTAACAATAAACAAAATCAGTTGCCACATATTCTAATTTGGCCAAAGTCACAACTAGTCAGAAATCTAATATTTTATTTCCAAGAAAGATTAAGATTATGTTATGTTTTTTCTCTCAATAGTTTGCAAACACCCCTTACTCTACAGGTAATTCACATAGAACCATAGCATTATTACTTACGTCATCACTCTGCTGAGCTTCTTGCATTACAAACTCTCGGACCATAGATGGACTAAATTCTACTAGATAAGAAAATATATCTGTAGCAGCTGATCTGACTTGCAAATCATCCATGCCCTGATAAAAGGAAAACTAGGTTACTTAAGAGACTGTTAACAAAAGTTATTCTCACATTTCTTTTTTCTTTCCCAAATCCATACACTAGCTCTCAACTTTTTGGATTAAGATGTTTTACTGCAATCAATATGCATAACCTCGCCAGTATGGTCTTCCTTTCTTTTATAAATATTAAAACTTTTAGGCAATTCAATGATCAGTTTCTGCAGATTTTTACCACTGCAAATAAATATTCAGAGATTTTAAACATAAGAATTGGCACAGGATTATAAGGCAATGCTTTACAAATGCTGTAAAATATATGGGAAGGGGTTTTATTTAAATATATGTAAAAATTTGAATAATGTCTCCTAGCCAAGACTTCAAAGTCTTCCAGAATCTGCCTTTTGTCCTGAATTTGCCAAGGTTACCCTTAGTAACTGTTTCTATTTTCTGTGACTCACCTAATAGAGCATGCTTTTGAAAACTCTTTTTGGGCATTTCTACCCTTTTGTGCAACTTAGTTTTCTAAGGTAGTAACCCTAAATACTTTTCCCCTCCAACACATGAAGAGTATGTGACTTATAAGTTACAAAATCTTGAGGTGATTCTGAAAACACTCCCCAACCCAGCAGTTCTCAAAAGTGTGGTCCAGGGAATCCTGGTGAGAGGGGTCTAACATCCTTTTAGGAAGTATACAAGATTAAGACTATTTCATAATAATAAATAATACTAAGCCTTTGTCATTTTCACTCTCATTCAATCACAAGTACAGTGGGGTTTTCCAGAGGCTGCGTGACATATCATATCACCACAAATTAAATGTAGAAGCTGCTTTGTGACTCTAGACACCTTCTATAAAGCAAGGTATTAGAGAGATTAGCAGAAAAAAAAAAAAAGTAAAAAATGGTACTCTTTTCACTAAATTTTTTGTTTTGAAAAAATTATTTTTTCATAAAAGTTATATTGATTTCAATCTCAAGAAAATGTGGTGAAAAAAGTTCTATTATTTTTGTTAACATATAATGGGTTATCATTTTTAAACGAATACTTTAAAAATTTGTTTTAATTTTCCATAAAGTAAATACCAATGGGTAAAACTCATATAAACAAAAGTCTAAGAATTATGCCCTAACCCTGTGTTGCAGCATAAATCCCCTTGTTTCAGTCTGTCCTCATTCCACTCACTGATCTAAAAACAAAAGATATTTTACTGGCTTCTATGAAACACAATACTGTTACAGAAAAGAACATTCTTGCAAAAACGTGGGTTTTTTTACTCACTTGAAAGCATACTATATGCAAGTGATTACATACTGATATTTAAAATTAAATAAAAATCTGAAACTGAAGATATTCTTGTAGTAATTCAATATAAGATAGCTAAACTATAGAACTGAATATACATTATTATAATATATAGTTTCTCATCCATAATATAAGTCTATTACAAATTTACAACTTCAAAAACATGAAAAGAAACAGCATAATTACCATTACAATTTCAAGAGCAGGAAGAATTCCCAATTTTGCCAATGTTTTGAAAAATGCATCCCTGTTTTGAGGTTGTAATGTCTGAGAAAACGCACAAAATTCCTTGAAGAAATTAACCTGTAATGTTAGAAATTTTAGTGAGATGTTGATAAACATAAACTTGGGGCACACTATAGTAATAATCTACCATGGTGTGGTATTCACCCTTCTGAAGGATCTCATCTTTTTTGGAGTTTCCTGGCTCCTCAAAACTACATTAAAAACAAACTAAAAATTAGCACCCCATTAAAAGTAAAACTTGCATTACTGGACGCTGTTAAGCAGAAAGAGAAATCCACCAATAAAAGGTAAATGTAAGCTGGCTTTCTGAAAGATGCATCACAAGCTGCTTTTTTCTTTTTTTTTCCAGTGAATAGCAGTGTTTGACAACACATTTTTCTAAGTGAACCTTTGAAATATGTTATTAGAACATTTTTCTTACTCCATTGGGACCTTATAGGTCAACAGAGATATTTGGTGATAAAAGGCAAATGAGAGTATGCATACTTTGTTTAAGATGCTGAATTTGCCTATTGATCTATTAGTACGCAGAAATGCAAGATATACTTTTAATGGGGTGCTAATTTTTAATATGTTTTTAAATATCAGTTGTGAGGCACCAGGCTACTCTGAAAAGATGACATCTGGCGGGGCATAGTGGCTCGCGCCTGTAATCCCAACACTTTGGGAGGCTGAGGCAGGTGGATCACTTGATTCCAGGGGTTTGAGACCAGCCTGACCAACAGGTGAAACTCTGTCTCTACTAAAAATACAAAAATTAGCTGGGCATGGTGGCACGTGCCTGTAATCACAGCTACTCGGGAGGCTGAGACACGAGAATCACTTGAACCCAGGTGGCAGAGGTTGCAGTGAGTTGAAATCGTGCCACTGCACTCCAGCCTGGGCAAAAGAGCAAGACTCTTTTTCAAAAAGAAAAAATAAAAAAAGATGAGATCTTTCAGAAGGTTAACATTGACCAATTAACTCTTTAAAGACATTCAGTGCAAAAATGCCAGGTAAGAAATTTGTTTTGAATTATGAACACATATTTTCACAGAAACCATCCTATAACTCAACTCTAGCTGGGTCCCCAGTAATCTCCCAAAAACATAATACTGGTTTAAGGACTGAAATGTACATCAAAGCTTCCCTAGTCTAAAATACCACTATTACAATTGAGAAAACTAAGTAGGTTACTAGTAAGTAACTACACTAAAGATGACTTACAGGTTTTAAATCAGCCATCTTTCATTATTTTGTGAAATCCCAATAAATAAAAATCTGAAACTGAAGATATTATTTTAGTAATTCAATATCAGATAGCTAAATTATAGAACTGAATATGCATTACTATAATATATACTTTCCCTTCTCATCTCATTATATTTGAAAAAAATGTCAAATATCTGGCAAACGGCAATCACTATTCTCTTCCTCAAAATGGTTCATATCTCAAAGAAAATGCTTATAATAAAAAACAAAAAATTTCCAAAGAACCAAATTATTTACATCATTTATTCAGGAAGCATTTTCCTTATCTCTTGTTTAAAAAGAAAAGCATCGTGGCTGGGCGCAGTGGCTCATGCCTGTAATCCCAGCACTTTGGGAGGCTGAGGCGGGCGGATCACCTCAGGTCAGGAGTTCGAGACCAGCCTGACCAACATGGAGAAACTCCGTCTCTACTAAAAATACAAAATTAGCTGGGCGTGGTGACGCATGTCTGTAATCCCAGCTACTCGGGAAGCTGAGGCAGGAGAATCGCTTGAACCTGGGAGGCAGAGGTTGCGGTCAGCCGAGATCGCACCATTGCACTCCAGCCTGGGCAACAAGAGCGAAACTCCGTCTCAAAAAAAAAAAAAAAAGAAAAAAAGAAGCATCGCTATAATGTAAACTTCTGCAACTACAAAAACGTCTGAGTTTTGTAGTTGTGTTCTAACATAAGGCACTTATCTGGTTTGGGGATTTATAAGGCATACAATGGTGGGGGGTGATACATCAGAGCATCCTAAGAATTTTCTAAAATATACAAATTCTAGAAACAAACAAATTTTAGAAACTCTGAATAATCATTTTGTAGTTCAATTTAAATACACACTTTTCATCTCTTACTAATCTAATTACAAAAAATTGTCTCAAGTTAGCAAATTCAAGATTAAAAGCTGTGCATGTCAAAAGAATAAGTGCTCTATAAGAGTTTGAATTTCATAACTTACCAATTCACGCCGTTTATCATCATCTGTAGCCTCATCTGTTAATTGTGCAAAAACTTCAGACAAAAACTTCTCATCTTCCTGCATGAAAAAAATAATTACTATGAAATATTAACAAAAAGATAAGGTTATACTCATTTATATGACTTACACAAATTATAAAAAATAGCTGACAAGTAGCATTTTCATTATGAAACCTAATATTCTGGGGTATATTTGTGTGTTAAAATTTTGTAAAATTTGACTACACCATTCAATTCTTGTTATAAATACATCAATATCTACTTTAACTAAAAACCTCAACTACAAATAACTCTTTGGAAACCAAAAATATTTGTTCTAGAGGTGTTATGTGAAAACTCACTGAATTTAGATTCTCTAGTCCCCTTTCAGGGTCTACTTTCTCTTAATTTAAACATAATTCAAACAAGTCTAAGGATCTTATTGTTAGTCCATGACAGATTAGAAAAACAGAAGAATTATAACACAAGGAACAAGGAAAACAGTAAAGGAGGCTGAATTCTGGCAGCAGATAAAGTTACAAAGCTATTTAAAATACAAGAACTCATAAAATACAGTAACCTACAACTGGTGCAGAGTCTTACACGTTCTTGTGGTCCCCAAGGATATAACTAAATGACAAAACACTACAATAACTGCTTTTCATACTAATGACTCTGAGGTATTAAAAAGAAAGACAAGTGCTAATTTCTCCAGGCGTTGTTTAAAAGGACAAACAGAAAAATTTAGTCAAGCATGTACTTTTAAAAAATAAATTTGTGGGCTGGGTGCGGTGGCTCACGCCTGCAGTTCCAGCACTTTGGGAGGCTGAGGCGGGTGGATCACCTGAGGTCGGGAGTTTGAGACCAGCCTGACCAACATGGAGTAACCCCATCTCTACTAAGAATACAAAACTAGCCGGGCGTGGTGGCACATGCCTGTAATCCCAGCTACTAGGGAGGCTGAGACAGGAGAATCGCTTGAACCTGGGAGGCAGAGGTTGCGGTGAGCCGAGACTGTGCCATTGCACTCCAGCCTGGGCAACAACTCAACAACAACAACAACAACAACAAAATAATAATAATCATAAATAAATTTGTGTGTCTAAAGTCTAGAAGGAGTACACGTTAGAATGTTAACTATGGTTATTGCTTGGTGATAGGTTATGAGTGATTTTCTTTTTTGGTTATCTATATTTTCTAATTTTCTACAAAGACTATTAAATTACAAAAGAAAAAATGGGCATAAATATTAAAATTCACCTTAGAGAAGATGTCATCAAAATCTGCTAAAAAATTGATGGAAATTATTGGTGGTTTTAAGCTTCAGTTATCTTCAAAATTCATTTTTATGAAATGTAATTTCCATTAAAGTAACTTGTTCTAAAAAAGTTTATAACAATAATATCTGTAGAGTTGATAGTAAAATAAAACCCTAACATTTAAAGGATACACCCCCAACCACCTGTCCTTTTTCTTACTGAGGATCATACATTAAGTGGTATCAATCCCTTAAGTCCTTTTTGAAATAAGGTGAAACATATATTTTTAAAAAATGAATAGAAACCACTACGTACTATCAGAGTATAACATGCTATTCCACTAAAAATCAATTGGTGCTACTCAAAGACAAGACACTGGTAGATAAATCATTTAGTTTGACTCAGAATGGTGTTTCCTTTGTTATTTCATTGACTCCTTTTGGACCTTATGCATTGCAGCCTGAACATCCATCTTTTGAGGGAGTTTATATGCATATGTAATCTTTTATTTAGCCCTTAAGTTACTTTTTCCTTTTTCTTTTTCTTCAGTCTCACTCTGTTGCCCAGGCTGGAGTGCAGTGGTACAAACATGGCTCACTGTAGCCTGGACCTCCTGGACTCAAGCAATCTTCCTTCCTCAGACTCCCATGTAACAGAGACCGTGGGCACGTGCCACCACACCTGCCTAATTTTTTAAACTTTTTGTAGAGATGGGGGGTGGTTCACCTTGTTGCCCAGGCTGGTATCGAACTCCTGGCCTCAAGCAATCCTCCCACCTCAGCCTCCCAAAGTGCCAGGACTACAGCCATGAGCCACCATGCCCAGCTTACTTTTTCCAAATACTTTTAGTCTCAATATTTTAGGTTAGGGTGAGTAAGTACATATTTACCTCCATTCACACCTTTTATAAATTTCTATTTTCCTGCATCTGTTGTAGATTACATCTTCATCCTTTACTACCTGAAAATTTAACTTTTTCAAAATATTTTCATAAGAAAAAAGTTCCAACTCCTTGATAAATGCAATTTCCCACTTGAATTCTTCTTATATGATTCGGTACTTGTGAGCTGATAAGTAGAACTGCATAAAATATTACAGATAGAAGCAATCTCAATTATTACAGTCCATTAAGAGAATGTGGATTCCTAGTATTTTTTCCTGATTTCCAGCATTACTCTTGCTATTATTCATTAACCTATAAAAGCACTCTGTTCCAATATATTTATGAAGGAAGCAAATAATCAATAACTTAAAGCCTATCATATAGTTGAAATACTTACTCCAAAATCTCTGGTTCTCCAAGTAATCAAACTAATCTCTTTAGTTTTTCTTTTCTATTTGGTTTTAACAGCTCTTGTTTTAATAAAACCTATATATTTAAGTCAAAATTTGTGTGGCTGCTTTTCTGGATAACATAAAAAAAACACTGTGGGGAAAAAAAGAGGTTGCTTCTAAACAGTCTAAATCAAACTCTTTTCTTTGCAGTAATATAAATACAGGGCAAACAAAAGAAAAAATAGAACCCATTCATTTTTAGAAACATATAAACACAGAAACTTAGAATTAGATCAGATTTTGCAACATTGTTACAGAGACTGTCAAGTGCAATTTTAAATTTCAAGAGACTGAGGTCCAAAAAGTGAATTTTTCTGAGGGTAGTTAGTGACAGATGGATTTAGAATCCAGGCCTCCCAAATAATTAATGAGGTTTTTGTCACTCCTACTAGGTAAACCACAGGACAGGTTCCTAAGTATTTCAAACTTCAAACATAAGTTTGAAGTTGAATCAAACTTATGAATCAAATCAAAGCAAAAGATACACACACAAGCTGGAATGGGCCAAATCTAGTAAGATAAAATTTAATATATTAAATCCTGTACTTGAATCCAAAGAAAAATCCTAAAAACAAAATGAAAAGCCCTATTACTCTAAACAGTCTTTCAAAGAGTATTTGAAGATTTTACATATTTAATTTGTAACTGGGATGGAAAGTTAGAAATTTTTCTCTCTTGGTGCCAAAACCTAAGTATCTGCAAAATATGTTAAAAGGAAAACTAAACCGCTGATCCTGCTGGGCTAATTTTAAGCTTAACTCTTACCTATGGAATAGCAGAAATATGTATATAATATAATATATGTAAATGTGTTAAAATGTCAACATTTGAGATTTCTGTCCTCTATCATTTCTAGTAAGGAGAGAAATTAAAACGTTCTGTTCTGAAAAGGATCTTATTCTGTAGCTGTTTGTGCAGAAACAACCTCACTTTATTTGCTTTCAAAAATTTGATTTCTGGCTGGGGGCAGTGGCTCATGCCTGTAATCCCAGCACTCTGGGAGGCTGACGCGGGCGGATCACCTGAGGTTGGAAGTTGGAGACCAGCCTGGCCAACACAGTGAAACTCTGTCTATACTAAAAATACAAAAATTAGCCAGGCGTGGTGGCTGCTGCCTGTTATCACAGCTTCCGGGGAGGCTGAAGCTTGAGAATCACTTGAACCTGGGAGGCAGAGGCTGCAGTGAGCCAAGATGGCGCCACTGCACTCCAGCCTGGGCGACAGAGGGAGACTGTCTCAAAAAAAAAAAAAAAAATTAATTACTAAAACATTTTAAAAGAATGTTGCTCAATTCTGGGCTCAGGGGATTTTGATCTGCAATTAGGTAGAAAATTCAGAGTCGCAAAAGTCTTCTGTCCCTATCATGCTTAAGACATTGTCAACATGTATTAGCACACATACTAGGAGCCAGTGACTAGGCTAAGTACTTCCATATAATGCAACAGTTAATTAACCTAATTTAGGCTAGGATTTATAAGGACCTTTGTACTACCTCACTTTGGCCCAGTTACATAAAATTCTTACATATTCACTTGCCTTCTACAACTCACACAGCAGCAAGTTAATGCTCATTTAAGAAACCACAGGTGGCCAGGCGTGGTGGCTCACTCCTGTAATCCCAACACTTTGGGAGGCTGAGGCAGGCGGATCACGAGGTCAGGAGATTGAGACCATCCTGGCTAACGCGGTGAAACCCCGTCTCTACTAAAAACACAAAAAATTAGCTGGGCTAGTGGTGGGTGCCTGTAGTCCCAGCTACTTGGGAGGCTGAGGCAGGAGAATGGTGTGAACCCGGGAGGTGGAGCTTGCAGTGAGCCGAGATCATGCCACTGCAATCCAGCCTGGGGGACAGAGCGAGACTCCATCTCAAAAAAAAAAAAAAAAAAGAAACTACAAGTGAGCGTACTAGATAGCCAGATAAGTATCTGGAAACACCTACTACCTAGCCAAAAATTTCTACATGGAAATCTCAGAGTGAGACTTTAGGAAATAAGGGCTTAGAGGCCACTGCAGGGCCAGGTATGGTGGTTCACGCCTGTTATCCCAACACTTTTGAAGCCTGGGCACCAGGATTGCTTGAGGCCAGTTAAGAACAGTTTAGGCAACATAGCAAAACCCCCACCTCTACAAAAAATAAAATAAAATAGAGACCACTGGCGACAATCTTATTTCTTTCCTTTTCACACATAGTTGAAAACACAATTCATACCCAAAGGAAAAAAAATGCATTATATTAAAAAGACACTTGCACTTGTATGTTGATCGCAGCACTATTCACGATAGCAAAGTCATGGAACCCACCTAAGTGTCTACCAAAAGATGATTAGACAAACAAAATGGGGTGTATATATATACTGTGGAATACAAACGAAATGTTAAAAAAGAATGAAATCATGTCTTTTGTAGCAACGTGAATGGAGCTGGAGGCCATTATCCTAAGTGAACTCAGAGGCAGAAAATCATACAGTGCACGTTCTCACTTACAAGTGGGTACACATGGACATTAAGATGGAGATAACAGACACTGGGAACTCCAAAAAGGGGTAGGATGGGAGGGGAATGAAGGTTTAAAAATTATCTACTGGGCACCGTGTTCAACATCTGAGTGATGGGTACACTAGAAGCCCAATCTCCACCATTACTCATGCAATACCCATGTAACAAAGTACCCTCTGAATCTAAAAAAAAAAAAAAAAAAAAAAAAAAATCAACATCTTTGCTGGCACATAAGAGATAATTAAGTAGTAAACCTTACGTAAATAACAGTTCACAGAATCTGGCTATTTCATGAAATGCATCTCATGAAGCAGAAATGATTAAGTCTTCTTTTAGGAAAAGAAAAGTCTGCACTTGATTTACGTAATTATAGCCTTCACAAATAAACCTATCGTAAAATACATAAAATGACATACAAAGGTTTACAAATATTTATAGTTTACATAATTTATTTTCTGAATATATAAAAGTATTTACAATTTACTATTAAGAATTTGGAAACCCTTCTGAAGACAAGAACAGTCATGTGAAAGCTACATTTGAGCTTCTGTTACTGGGTCCCCTTTTTATCAACTACAGACTGTGACTCTATTTCCAATCTCCTAAGATTATTAAACGTTTTTCTGTCAACAAGTGAAATAGCACCCTGAATTGTATACTATGGTTTAAAAATAAACAGGTCCTATATATTATAAAAAGAACCTGATGTGTACATCTAACCTTCCCCACACTCATTATTGGGGAATAACAAAAAATTGGTAGGTGAATAAATGATCTGAAAGAAAAGTAAATCCTACATAAAAAAATAAAGTAACAATAATAGGTGGCTATTGGTGGGAAATGTCACAAAATGAAGTCTATTAGCTGGCACTAAGTCAGAGACATAATTCAATTATTTGTATCAGGACCCTTTTAAACTCTTTTTTTTTTTTTTTTTCAGATAGTCTCGCTCTGTCACTCTGGCTGGAGTACAGTGGTGCAATCTCAGCTCACTGCAACCTCCGCCTCCTGGGTTCAAGCAATTCTCCCACTTCAGCCTCCTGAGTAGCTGGGATTATAGGCACGTGCCACCATGCCTGGCTAATTTTTGTATTTTTAGTAGAGATGGAGTTTCGCCATGTTGGTCAGGCTGGTCTCAAACTCCTGACCACAAGTGATCCTCTTGCCTTGGCCTTCCAAAGTGCTGGGATTACAGGCATGAGCCACCACACCTGGCCTAAACTCTTAAGAATTATGCAGAGGCTGGGTACAGTGGCTCACACCTATAATCTCAGCACTTTGGGAGGGTGAGGAGGATCACTTGAGGCCAGGAGTTTGAGACCAGCCTGGGCAATACAGTCAGATCCTGTCTCTATATAAAAAATAAAATGAATTTTAAAAAATTATGGAGGACCCTGAAGAGCTTTCATTATGCACGTTATGTTCATCAATATTTACCATAATTACAATTAAAACCAAGATTTGTGAAAATATTCATGAATTCATTTTTTAAAATAAGTTATTTTATGTTTATATAAATGTTTTAAGAGAAACGGCTATATGATCCAAAATTTTAAACTTTTAGTAAAAAGAGTAGCCCCTTTTACATTTTTGCAAATCTCAATATCTGGCTTAACAGAAGACAACTAGATACTCATTTATCTTTTTTGTCATTCAATTTGTTGCAATATGTTCTTTAGGCAAAAGTACATGAAAAAAAAAACACACAGCCTCACACTGACATCAAACTAGAAAAAGGAAAACCTCATAAATGCCTCCAAGAGGGTCTCAGGGACTTTCAGAGGTCCACAAACCACACTCTGAGATCCATAACACTAAGTATATAGTAGCTGCTCAATAAACTTAGTGATTGATATGGAAATAACAAAAGCAGTTATGCAGAAAGCTTAGTATAGTCTACCGTTACAAGTACTTTAAAAGCATGCTTTTTATACTGTTAGGGTGTAAAGGATTAACATGATATAGTATAAAGCTCCTATTTCACAACTCAGTGAGACAGAATAAAATCACCTTCTTATAGCAAATAGCCACATACTCATATACACCCCAATAATAACAGTATCTCTCAAAATGGAAGAAAAGATACTTTTAACCCTTTCCCCAATTAGAAAAAAAAAGTGCAGCTTGCTGCCAGCACTAATTTCATTTTACATAAACACGTTCTTTGAGGCTGAAGCAAATCTGATTTTCAATGTGAAAATAAAATATAAAAACTGTTCCTGGAGTTACTTCTAAACAGAACTAACATCAGAATTGTTTGAATCATCAAAATCGTCTATTTAAAAAAAAATCAGATTCATCAAATGAATCTTTGGCCAACAAATGTTTGAGAACGATATTAATATCATGGGCAGGAATGCTATGTTTTCTAGAATTAATATACCACAGCAATGCGAAAATAATAATAAAAGCTAGGTATTTTGTGGCAAAGCTGTCTCAGGGTAAATGCTGCAGCCAAGCATTATTGGCGAGTATTCGCGGGACAGACAGGAAAAACGTTAAATATAGCTGCATCAGCCAGGTGCGGCGGCTCACACCTATAATTCCAGCACTTTGGGAGGCCAAGGAGGGTGGATCACCTGAGGTCAGGAGTTTGAGACCAGCCTGGCCAACATGGTGAAACCCTGTTTCTACTAAAAATACAAAAAAATTAGTCGAGCGTGGTGGCACACACCTGTAATCCCAGCTACTGGGGAGGCTGAGGCAGGAGAATCGCTTGAACCCAGAAGATGGAGGTTGCAATGAGCCAAAATCACACCACTGCACTCCAGCTTGGGCAACAAGAGTGAAACTCCGTCTCAAAATAATAACAATAATAATAATAATAAAAAATAGCTGCATCATCGATATATATAATAAACAAATTCATAAAGAGTAGAATAGTGATTACCAAGAGCTGGAAAGAGGGAATATGGGTAGTTACTGTTCAATGGGTTGAGTTTCTGTTTGGGATGATGAAAAAGTTCTGTAAATGGATAGTGGTGACTATTGCATAACACTGTGAATATACTTAATGTCAATGAATTGTACACTTAACAACTGTTAAAACTGGCTGGGCGCAGTGGCTCACGCCTGTAATCCCAGCACTTAGGGAGGCCGAGGTGGGTGGATCACCTCAGGTCGGGAATTCGAGACCAGCCTGACCAACATGGAGAAATCCCCCTCTACTAAAAATACAAAAAATTGGGCCGGGCGCGGTGGCTCACGCCTGTAATCCCAGCACTTTGGGAGGCCGAGGCGGGTGGATCACAAGATCAGGAGATCGAGACCATCCTGGCTAACACGGTGAAACCCCATCTCCACCAAAAACACAAAAAATTAGCCTGGGGCGGTGGCAGGCGCCTGCAGTCCCAGCTACTCAGGAAGCTGAGGCAGGAGAATGGCCTGAACCCCGGAGGCGGAGCTTGCAGTGAGCCAAGAGCACACCATTGCACTCCAGCCTGGGCTATAGAGCAAGACTCCATCTCAAAAAAAAAACCAACAACAACAAAAAAAATTAGCTGGGCGTGCGGGCGCATGCCTGTAATCCCAGCTACTCAGGAGGCTGAGACAGGAGAATCACTTCTCTCTGCCAAGAGGCGGAGGTTGTAGTGAGCAGAGATCATGTCATTGCACTCCAGCTTGGGCAACAAGAGCAAAACTCCATCTCAAAAAATAAATAAATAGTTAAAATGGTGAATTTTATGTTATATATATTCTACCTGAATTTTAGAAACACAAATATTATATTTCATAAAAAGCTGAAACATAGACCACTTAAAAATATAAAAGGCTGGGCCAGGCACGGTGGCTCACACCTATAATCCCAGCACTTTAGGAGGCTGAGGCAGGTGGATTGCCTGAGCTCAGGAGTTCGACACCAGCCTGGGCAACACAGTGAAACTCCTTCTCTACTAAAAATACAAAAAATCAGCTGGGCATGGTGGCGCACACCTGTAGTCCCAGCTAATTGGGAGGCTGAGGAAGAAGAATTGTTTGAACCTGGGAGGCGCAGGTTGCAGTGAGCCAAGATTGTGCCACTGCATTCCAGCCTGGGTGACAGAATGAGACTCCAATTCAAAAAAACAAACAAATAGAAGGTTGCACTAAAACCACAAGATATAAAGTCCTAATTTCTTTTGTTTACTTTAAATATACTTAATAATGCATTTAAACAAAATAAATCTCTCAAAAAACAGAGGGTAAAAACACCAGCTTGAACTATTAAGGGAACTAAGTATCTGAAAAACGGAATTGTGAAGAATATCTTTTTACTTACCTGCAACATGCTGACTATCTCAACTTTGTTGAAGAAAATAAAAGACGTAAGAGTAGAAAGAAAATTCTCTTCAAAAACAGATGGTGTGGGCAAAATGATGTCCTGAATGTACTGTACCCTGTAAGTCTGATGTATTTTTTGCCTTAGTTCAGAGTCTGTTATTGGTATAACTTCCTTAAACTTTGCAGTTTTGGTCAAGAATTCTCTATGTCTTTTTGGCTGAGCCAAAGCAGGGTCATATTCAAGGCATCCCACGACATCCATGATACACTCATCAGAAAACATTACCTCAAAAAGAGTTGCCTTATTTAGGAATAAGATTCCTCTAATAATTTCATACAAATGGTGTAAGCCTTCAGTGTTTTCTAGGTTCTCACAAGCTTGGAACAGCTGCAGTAGTTTTTTAATATAGCCTTCATTTTCCAAGGCGAGAGCCAGCTTTTCCCTACGGATAGGTGAGGAGAGCACTGAGGTAACTAAGTCAGCAATCTCTTCAAGTTTATTGAGTTCACATGTGGGCAGGTCAATCAGATGACTAGTTTCAGGCATTTCTTCAAATCGTTCTTCTTCAGATTCATCAATGAGGTCCTGTGTGACTTCCACTGATGGGTCTTTACCTTGAACCTAAAAATATCCAAGTATACAGCTAATTACCTTAAAATACAAAAGAATTCAAAATTTTGGAAAGCAAATCCCTGACCACTGAATTTAAGTAAAATATCTTGCAAAGAATAAATATTAGTAATAGTCACTACTAATTTATTATTATTTTTAATAGAAACAGGATCTAACTCTGTTGCCTAGGCTGGGGTGCAGCGGTGTGATCACAGCTCACTGTGACACTAAACTCCTGGGCTCGAGTGATCCTCCTGCCTCAGCCTCCCAAGTGGCTGAGACTACAGGCATGTGCCACCACACCTAGCTAACACTTTTACTTTTTGTGGAGACAGTGTCTCACTATGTTGTCACTACGACTAGCCAGGCACGGTGGCTCACGCCTGTAATCCCAGCACTTTAGGTGGCTGAGGCAGGCGGGTCACTTGAGGTCAGGGGTTCAAAATCAGCCTGGGCAACATGGTGAAACCCCGTCTCTACTAAAAATACAAAAATTAGCAAGGTGTGGTGGCATATGCCTGTAATCTCAGCTACTCAGGTGGCTGAGGCAGGAGAATCACTTGAACCTGGAAGGTGGAGCCTGGAAGGTGGAGGCTGCAGTGAGCTGAGATTGCACCACTGCACTCCAGCCTGGGAGACAGAGCAAGACTCTGTCTCAAAAAATAAAATAAAAATAAATAAATAAATAAAATGAATTCTCTTCCAGCTTGGTCCCTGAATGACTCACATAAGCAGGGCCCCTTCCCCTACTGGTCAAACAGCATTAAGGAGAAATCAACTTTTGTTGTCACAAGCCATTGAAATTTTAGGATTGTATTGCTACAACACAATCTGATTATAACATCTTAAAGATAGTCAATGAACTCTGCTGTATGGATTCACAATAAATCTACACTATAGATAGGGTTTTTCAATAAAAATTCTCTATTCCATAATCCTATCGTCATCCCTTACAGCTGCTGCTTTAAATTTTTTTTTCACTTTCCAACTTCTCAAACACTACCTTCATCTTTAAGTCTCAGAAGATAAGAGGTTTCCTTTGAATAAAAAGTCCATCAGTACTCAACTTCCTCTAACATTTCTCCATCTCATAACTTACCTTCACACATTTCTTTCATTCACTTCAAAGAAAATGTCCATACCATTTCCTAAGGTTAACATTTCCATATGTACTTCTAAATTTATGCTTTCTCAAAGCTAAACATACCAAATTATCTTTGCTCTTGTTTTTATAATTTATTTATCTACAATGGTTCCTTCTATTTCATCATTCTCCATTCCCCTTAAGACACTCTGAACCATCAAACTTTTTCAGGGAAGCTTTTTTGTTCTATTTTCTCATTATAAGGGGTTAAGCTTGGGCGTGGTGGCTCACTCCTATAATCCCAGCACTTTGGGAGGCCAAGGTGGGCAGATCACCTGAGGTTGGGAGTTCAAGACCAGCCTGACCAACATGGAGAAACCCTGTCTCTACTAAAAGTACAAAATTAGCTGGGCATGGTGGTGCATGCCCGTAATCCCAGCTACTTGAGAGGCTGAGGCAGGAGAACCGCTTGAACCCAGGAGGCGGAGGTTGCAGTGAGCCAAGATCACGCCATTGCACTCCAGCCTGGGCAACAAGAGTGAAACTCTGTCACAAAAAAAAGAAAAAAAAAAAAAAGGCAGGGGAGGGGGGTGGTTAAGAAATAATTAAGTAATATGGTGCTTATTGAAACTGAAATTGTTCTTTCAAAGATCAGCAATGACTTCCCAGAACTGAAAAAGTAAAACATGACATATGATTCTGTGAAATATCATGCAGTAGTTAGGAGCAAAAAACTAAATACATATTCAGCAACATGCACAGACTTTAAGAAGTAGAGTACTGAGTGGTACAGTAAAGAGTTAACTTTGCTGGACCATCCCTTCCATCTAATATCCCTTCCAAAGGTGGAAAAGTCTGAATAAAAATCAATGACAAAGAATAAATATAAAATTTTTTAAAATAACGACAAATGGAAAGGAGAAACAGTAAAAGAGGAAAAAAAAATGAAAAAATGAGTAACGTAAGAAGGAAAATTCAGTATTAACATTGGTGCCTAAACTGGGGGCTGTCACTCATGCCTGTAATCTCAGCACTTTGGGAGGCTGAGGCAGGCAGATCACAAGCTCAGGAGTTCAAGACCAGCCTGTGCAACATGATGAAACCTCATCTCTACAAAAAATACAAAAATTAGCCAGGCATGGTGGCGCACACCTGTAGTCCCAGCTATTAGCAGGCTGAAGTAGGAGGATCCCTTGAGCCCGGGAGGCAGAGGTTGCAGTGAGCTGAGATCACACCAGTGCATTCTAGCCTGGAGACAGCTAGACGATGTCTCAAAAAAAAAAAAAAAACAAGCAAAAAAAAAAGCAGTGATGCCTCAAGAAAGGCTGAAGGCCAAGAGATGACATTGTCTCTTGGCTCAGTTATAACAGATACCTGGAAGGGTGAAGCAATAGGTTTGCCAAGACCACCCCTCCTCTTGAAACCTGACTAGGTTAAATGGGAGCTGGTAAGCTTCAAAGAATGACACTGCTCTGGGAGACATTTCGTCATACAATATGATGATGAACCAGACCAACTGTTGTTTTTTTTTTGAGACAGAGTCTCGCTCTGTAGCTCAGGCTGGAGTGCAGTGGCGCGATCTTGGCTCACTGCAAGCTCTGCCTCCCGGGTTCTCGCCATTCTCCTGCCTCAGCCTCCCAAGTAGCTGGGACTACAGGCGCCCACCACCACGTCTGGCTAATTTTTTGTATTTGTAGTAGAGACGGGGTTTCACTGTGTTAGCCAGGATGGTCTCGATCTCCTGACCTCGTGATACGCACGCCTTGGCCTCCCAAAGTGCTGGGATTACAGGCGTGAGCCACCATGCCCAGCCCCAGACCAACTGTTAATGACTAAGTGGGATTCTAGTAATGTGCTAGAATCTATCAACTCTTACTTTTCAGGTTACATCTAGTACCATACTGTGATATGGTGTAACACTAGTATTGTTCATCCAACTACCTTATCTACATAAATCTTATAATACTGATATTGATGATCAAATGTACTGGGATATTGAGTTAAAGCTTCCTGAGGATGTAATGCTGATAGAAAAATCACTGGCCCATGCTGAGTTATTTGAATAATTAAACTAAGAAAAAGGAAAGTCACTGGCCCTACAGAATCATGGTCTGGAACCTAAGAAGAAAAAAAAAAATCACTGGACTGACAAAAAGCTGGATTTTGTTGACTATCAGTTTCTATGGTATACAGTTCTGTACAAGTTTATCATAAGGTAAAATCTGCAGATCAAGGAGAGAAATAAGAAATCAAAGTAGTACAAAAATACAAAAGGTATGACACGGTTTTACAGGAAAACTTAGTTGTGTCTTCAAACCTGTTTCTACTCCACACTGGCCCCAAATGCTAGGTATATTCATACGGATATTATTTCTCTATCTGTGATATAAATCCTATGCTAAATGTAGATGCTCACACAAATATGATCATTTTGGTGTAAGAGAGTCTTGGTCAAGGAGTGGCCTGTGCAGTAAAAGACTGACCTTGCCAAAGGAAAAGTTTGGCCCTTATCTAGCTCCAGAGAGGTAAACTCTAAGCACTCAGAATATCCTGCTTCATAATAGTGTTTTTGTTTACCTGGGGGCCTTCACCTATGCCAGACATACTATGCTAACAATGTGGTACATGGTGGGGGCCTTGGACCACAAGATATTCTTGACCTCTGGAGGTGCTGGAATAAGGTTAGCCACACAGGTGGTAAGCCATGCTTACGTAAACCCTAATCCCCAGTGAAAACCCTGGACACAAAGGTTTGGGTAAACTTCTCTGGTTGGCCATACTGAATGTGTGCTGCCATATATCACTGCTGGGAGAAGTAAGTGCTGTCTGCATGATTCCACTGGGGGAGAGAATTGGAAGCTCAAGCCTGGAACTCTCCTAGACCCTACCCTATGCACCTTTTCCCATTGGCTATTTGAATCTGTATCATTTTGCTGTAATAAACGGTAACTGTGAGTATAACGTTTTGCTGAATTCTGTTGAGTCTTTCCGATGAATTATGCAAATTGAGAGCATTCTTGGAGACCTCCTGAAACTACCTAAGTGAAAGCAGTAATAAACAAATTTCCACAAAAATTTCTAGGACGAACACTTTTTTTTTTTTTTTCTGAGACAGTCTTACTCTGTCGCCCAGGCTGGAGTACAGTGGCATGATCTTGGCTCACTGCAACCTCCCTCACAGGTTCGAGCTATTCTCCTGCCTCAGTCACCCTAGTGGCTGGGACTACAGGCATGCGCTACCACGCCCAGCTAATTTTTGTACTTTGAGTAGAGATGAGGTTTCACCGTGTTAGCCAGGCTGGTCTCGAACTCCTGATTTCAGGTGACCCGCCTGCCTCGGTCTCCCAAAGCGCTAGGATTACAGGTGTGAGCAATTGCGTCCGGGTGGACAAATACATTTATATCCAAGAACATGTATTAAAAAGTAGGTGTTGACATATAGAGGTGGGGTAGTAGGATGGGACAAGGATAATCTTATACAGAAATCACTAGAATAAATTATCCACCATATAAATTTATGTTCCAGCAGATATGTAAATCAATATCTTAGTTATAAATAAGAGATGTTTGTCTTCTCCATTATAGTTATATTTTCTGTAAATCTAAAACTGTTCTAAAATAAAAGGTTTCTTTTAAAAAAATTCAGTTACTTAAGAGTTACCACATATTCTATATATCCTGCTACACTCTAAGTTCCACATAAACTGAAGTCATGAATACTGTTGATCATTAGTGCCTCGTACAGTATTCATAAACATCAGGCAAACATATGACCAAATATTTATTATTTTTAATCTAAAAGCCTGACTTAATTACTTAATCTTCTTTTGGTTTGTTTAAAGTACTTGCCACTCTATAATATAAGGTATTAATTATGAGTATATGCTATCAAAATCTAAAGTGGTAAAACAAAACTATGACAAAGTTGTTTTTAAAAAACTTGAAGTAAAATAATTTGCTGTAGAATATAAAAAAATTTCAAGTTATATTATCAAGTCTCACATTAAGACACTATCTATCTCTCCACATCCTAATACATGTTTGAAGTAAAAAGGAAACAAAAATTCAAGAAAAGATGCAAACGTTAAGTTAAATACTATAAAAAGAAACTCACCTGACAAATTTTTTCCCAGATCTCATCACAGCCAGCTTTTTCCTGAAAACTCAGAGCCAAATCATAGTTCTCTGCTTCTGACCAAACAATTAATGTATCCTGTTTAAAAATAAATATTTCTATATCATCACACTAGAAAAGAGATATCTACAAAGTATAAATAAAAATCAAGAGGACTGAAAACACAGCAATGACAAATGCCCCGATAAAAGTAATAAATGTATATTCGATTGGCATTATTAGTAATATATTGGCAATAAAATAGCTTTGGTACTAAAAATGACACTGAGCAATTTTCTAAAACAAAAAATATTAAAACAGGTTAGTAGGCTCTGACTCATGTTACCCAAATAATATTTATAAAAAGGCTAGTCATTCTTGGTTAAAACTGTAACAAAGACATTCCAACCATCTACTTTCTGTTGCTTCTAGAAAATCAGCTGTCCCATTCACTAACCACCTATGTATTTATCCTTCCCTTTGAGCTGGTTAAAAGTAAGCTAACTAATACCTGAAAATAGGTTAAGGCTTAACTCTATTTTTGCCATTTTTTTTTTTTTTTAATCTGGAAAAGACTTCAGGATCTTAAGAAATGCAACACCACGGTGAAACAAAGCTATTTGCTCTTAGTGACAAGTGCTACCAACAGCACCCAGTTCAGTACCTTAGGGTGTAGAAAAATTAGCCCAAGGTTTAGGTAAGCAGTCTCCTAGAACGTCTTCGATTACATGCCTACCAAAGGGTTAGTTACGCTT